GCCTAATCCTAGTTACTTGATACATCCTGTTAGAAGAGATTACCAAATGACACAGACACTATAGATTGCAGAGAAAATTACAGCACTAAAAAAATTAGTCCTGGTCACATTCCTCTCATTATAGGCAAGATTTATGTTGGAATTCAAAACTTAAACTCTTCAGTGTATTGAGACCCCAACTGTGAGAATGTCATAGCTTCCCTGTATTATTGAGATGAATGTATTTTGTCTGTTTCAAAACCAACATATGGGTTTTATTGTTGTCACTTGTACACTGAGTTTTAAACCATTTGCAAAATATCAGAATAAACTTTATATATATATCAATTAGACTGTTTTAATTCTAAAGCAATAACAACAGAAGTGTGTGTCTTACTCCAAACTAAAAATTGTAAGAGGAAAAATAAAAATTATTGTGTTACTGGTACTAGTAGAATTACGTAAAAATCACAGAAGTTTATCATTCGAAATGCTGAATAATATTATTATTATTATGAACTAAATATAAAATTACGCTAAATTATTTAACTTAAAACTACAAATATAAATGCAAAACAATACAAAAAATCACAAACTCAATTCAAAGTACTAAGCCTAATTCATGTAAAGGCCTTGCACTAACCACTCGATAGCTTAACCCTAACAATCGTGAATCAACTTCTTTCCTAGAAAATATATCTAATTTGAGTTAATTTTTCAATATAATAATTGAAATAAATAGATATACGATGCAGCATCACTAACACTAGTATAGAAAAATAATAAATCTCACGTACATCCCATGTAGTTTATTCCAGACGAGCGTTTTCTAACGCTTAAACAAAATTACTGTCACGACAGTAGTAGTCACGTGACCTGGTAACACGTCATGGGTTTCTAGAAGGATCATGACAAAAACACAGTAAATACTTACGAACAACTTCTGCCAGTACCAGTTTAGATGGAACAACACATTACAGAATTACAACAACCCCTGCCAGTAACAGGTTAGATACAACAGCACAATGAAGACTTACGAACAACCCCTGCCAGTACCAGGTTAGATACAACAACACATTAAAAACTTACGAACAACCCCTACCAGTACAAGGTTAGACTAACAACAAATAAAAGTCTTAGAACAACCCCAGCCAGTTCCCGGTTGGTTCCAACAACACATCAAAGACTTACAAAAACCGAGCCAATACCCTGTTAGATAAAATAACACATTAATGAATTACAACTACCCCCTGCCAGTACCAGATCAGATGCAACAACACACTAAAAATTTACAACAACCCCTGCCAGTTCCATGTTAAATAAAAAAATATTGTTGCGTCATCGAGTCACATGACTACTGTGACGCAACGTTTCTAGAACTATCATGTACTTTGGCGAATGTTCTAGTTCTTACTAGATATAGGGTAGGCTGGTATATAAAAGAGGGGAATGTAATGTGTGTATAGACAGTGTGTACTTGATCTGCGGTCAGAAGTATTATTGACGTTCGTTGATATAGCGTTTTTTTTAGCGCGATTGTTGAAGTTGAGTGTGTCGGTAAAGTTATATTCGGAAAGAATAAATCAGTTTTATTAAGTAAAGACTTGTGTCGCTTAA